ACGTAGAATTATTTAAATACCCATTACTTACATTACCGGTGTGGTCATGAGACCTTGCGATACTCCATGATCAGTGACACCTTTGAGCAAGGGTTGACTCAAGCTTACCCGATGTTAAAAAAAAAAAAAAATCAACTATATTATTTCTATATTTTTATTTAGTCTATCGAACTTTTATAATTTAGCCCACATCCAATATCTGAATTGATATTAAGTTATACTTCTCTTTTTCTATTTCCCATTTTCTGGTTCTGCTCGTATTCTCAGTTGCGCTAACTATTTTCTTACCTATTTTTCTTGTTCTACTCTACTTTATTCAAATAAATCCTGGAAAAACTGGGACCGCTACCCCAAATTCCCAAAAATATAAGCCAATTTTATAACAAATTCATGTATTCGATAGAAATTTAATCATGTAAATTCTTATTTCCATAACAATAGATTTACACATAATTACACACACATTCATGTGCGTATTGTGAGTAGTTATTTAATCAAATATTATACAATTCAAATATGTCTAATAAAAATAACCAAATGTAGGATCTAATTAACTTCTCACCAACCCAATTGGACTTCACAAGTCCCATATAATTGGTAGGTGACAACATATAATATATTATATATCCAAGTTACAATCAATACTATATATGAAAGGAACAAAATCCAAAACAAGGGCCCAATATAAGTAAAATGTAGCATGTATAAAAACAACTTTTTTTCTACAAATAAAATTGCTCTACACATCTAATTAGTCATTGACACACAATAACACTATTAAAAGAAACAAATTTTCTTTTATTATTATTTTTTCATAAATAAAACTTTGAAGAAATGGTGCTACTGTATACCCGGGAACTTATATGCTACACCTGTCTATTTACACTAGGTATGTTAACTATAAATAAAATTAAATAATCACTCAATAAACACACATTCATATATTTAGAATGAAACGATATAAATAACCGAGTGTAGCATATTTGACTAGGCGACGTGTCTCTGTGTATGGGAGCACGAGGTTGTTACACTATGTACAATGATGCGAAATCTGAAACCATGATGACAGCAATAAGAAGAAAACTCGTGAAATAATCTTGTACTTAGATTTGTTTAGAGGATGATATCTCATTGACATTGAACCACTAAAGAAGAATTCCTTGTGAACTAGTTGGGATCGAGTGTGATTTATAATGAAGAATCTTGAATGGAGTTTCTCAAAGTGGAGATCTCGATTCCTCAAAAATGTCGAATAATATGGGACCTCGAGTTGGAAACCTCTACTTCTTCGAGTTTTCGGAGGTTGACGAGAGTCACACCACTAGTCTCATGACCACTACTCAAATAACGTAGAATTATTTAAATACCCATTACTTACATTACCGGTGTGGTCATGAGACCTTGCGATACTCCATGATCAGTGACACCTTTGAGCAAGGGTTGACTCAAGCTTACCCGATGTTAAAAAAAAAAAAAAATCAACTATATTATTTCTATATTTTTATTTAGTCTATCGAACTTTTATAATTTAGCCCACATCCAATATCTGAATTGATATTAAGTTATACTTCTCTTTTTCTATTTCCCATTTTCTGGTTCTGCTCGTATTCTCAGTTGCGCTAACTATTTTCTTACCTATTTTTCTTGTTCTACTCTACTTTATTCAAATAAATCCTGGAAAAACTGGGACCGCTACCCCAAATTCCCAAAAATATAAGCCAATTTTATAACAAATTCATGTATTCGATAGAAATTTAATCATGTAAATTCTTATTTCCATAACAATAGATTTACACATAATTACACACACATTCATGTGCGTATTGTGAGTAGTTATTTAATCAAATATTATACAATTCAAATATGTCTAATAAAAATAACCAAATGTAGGATCTAATTAACTTCTCACCAACCCAATTGGACTTCACAAGTCCCATATAATTGGTAGGTGACAACATATAATATATTATATATCCAAGTTACAATCAATACTATATATGAAAGGAACAAAATCCAAAACAAGGGCCCAATATAAGTAAAATGTAGCATGTATAAAAACAACTTTTTTTCTACAAATAAAATTGCTCTACACATCTAATTAGTCATTGACACACAATAACACTATTAAAAGAAACAAATTTTCTTTTATTATTATTTTTTCATAAATAAAACTTTGAAGAAATGGTGCTACTGTATACCCGGGAACTTATATGCTACACCTGTCTATTTACACTAGGTATGTTAACTATAAATAAAATTAAATAATCACTCAATAAACACACATTCATATATTTAGAATGAAACGATATAAATAACCGAGTGTAGCATATAATTTTCCGGTGCATACATGCTCCTAATTTTGTCCCGAAATTCCATGGAGACCCCTTGTAATAAAGTCTGAAAACCATGATGACAGCAATAAGAAGAAAACTACAAAAAAAAAAAAAAAAAAAAAAAAAAAAAGAGGTGTATGTGGGCCCCACAGAGAGGATGGGACAAAGGAGAGAGGGTGCTGCCTGTAAAATTTGCATGTAATATCGAGCTGCCACATATATAACTCTGCATGCATACTCCCCTAATTCTATTCAGCCACGCACCTCTTTGCCCATACTTCACACCATCCTCGTCACACCCCCCCACCCCCCACCCCCCACCCCTTGTATATCTATATGTGTATATATATCCTCCTCCATTATCTACAATTCTCTCATGTTCCCTCAGAAAATAAAAACACAATAAATTAAATTACCTAGAAAAAAGAAAAGAAAAACATGATGGGCAGTGTTTGTGCTGAGCAGCAGCAACACAAGTTCCACCATTCCCACCAACTCTTCAATAACCTCACCAAGAAATCCCTCCGCGATATCGACATCCCTCCACGTAAGCTCCTCGGCCGCCGCTCCGCCGCCGCCGCCGCCGCCGGAGACGTTTACTCCGACTCCCCCAGGGCGGAGGATGCCGTTTTCTCCAAGTTCTTGCCGTACAACAACGCGGACGCTGACGAGGACGACGACCCCTACTCCTCCGACCAGTTCCGGATCTACGAGTTCAAGGTCCGGAAATGTAATCGGAGCAGGAGCCACGACTGGACGGACTGCCCTTTCGCCCACCCCGGCGAGAAGGCTCGCCGGAGAGATCCCAGACGGTACCGTTATTCTGGTACCGTCTGTTCTGAGTTTCGGAAGGGACACTGCGGCAAAGGGGACAACTGCGAGTTTTCGCATGGGGTTTTCGAGTGCTGGCTACACCCTTCTCGCTACCGCACTGAGGCGTGCAAGGATGGGAAGAATTGTAAACGCAAGGTATGTTTTTTTGCCCATTCGACTCGGCAGCTTCGAATTGTTCCGGATACTTCCTCTCCTTCTTCGCCGCCGTCTGCGGCGGCGGCGATGGATCATTCTCCGGCGGCCATGGCGGCGGAGAAGAATATGTATCGTAATCAGAACTGCTGTGTCTTTTGCCATTCTGTGACGACGACTGCGTCCCCGACTTCGACTCTGATGATGGGCATGTCCCACCACCTCTCTCCTCCGGCGTCTCCTCCGATTTCGCCGGCGTACTCGCCGGAGTTTTCGCCGTATGGGTTTCCGCCGGAGTTTGGTGGTGGTGGTGGGGGGCTGAGCTACAAGGATGCGATACTGAACGAGCTGATGGCTTCTGTGGAGGCGATGAACATGAATGAAGCTGCTCAGGCGGCGGCGAAGAGGAATCTGCCGTGGCTGGATGTGAACTTCAGCGCGGAGGAGCACCAGCCGCAGTTTGTGCTGTCTCCTTCAACCCCGACAACACTAGGTGGGCGTGGACATAGCAAATTCATGTCTGGAGATAGCAAATTCGTGTCTGGAGATAGCAAATTCTACCGTGGAGATTTTTCTGGAAGGAATTTAATGGAGGATAACAGGTACAACAACAACAATGAAGGGAATATGGTTGGGCCGGATCTTGGATGGGTTAATGATTTACTCACCTAAATTAATTAATTAATTAATAATCAAGAAAAGAGAATATTTTGGACCGTAAGATCTGGGCCGTTGATTTTTATATATATTTGACTTTTGATATGGGAGATTTCAAGGGGAGGGTTTTCTTTTTTGTGTACATAAAGATCTTGCACCAGCATATACATACAAGTGTGTATGTATGTATAGGTGAGCGCGCGTGGCCGTGGGTGGTGGTGGTTATTTTTGCTGAAGATTGTTT